GCGTTCGTCAGGTCCAGTTTTGTATCCAGCCTCTCACTGGGGATTTCGGATGCCCAACGCCTTTGAAGAGACGACTCAACGCCGGCGATATGTTATGGCGCCGTTTTATATATAAAAAATATTTATATTTAACATTTATATTTAAACAATATGAATGTAAGCCAGAGGAACTGGCCCGACTGAGCCTGGGTTCTCCCAAGGTTTTTTCTTCATCCAATCTGATGGAGTTTTGGTTCCTTGCACTGTCGCCTTGCTTTTGGCTTGCTTAGTTGGGGATATTTAATATTTAACAATATTATTGATCTGTGTTGTACTACTTTCATGTTATCACTGTGAAGCTGCTTTGATACAATCTGTATTGTGAAAAGCGCTATATAAATAAATGTGACTTGACTTGACTTAAACACACACACAGGTATCTGAAGCACATGTACAGTTAGGACAAGTAACGTCACGTGAAACACCTCCTTACATTAGAATCCTTCCGCATCTTTTACAAAAACTTTTTACAAAAACAAAATCTTTTACAAAACCTTCACAAAACGTTTGTCATGATAAACCCTCGAAAAATTACCGAATCCACTGTTTTGTCCTTGGCTGTTTAACCAGTCTGCTCTTCATCATCAATCAGTTTCAGTTTTAAAAAGCGCGCGGGGAAGAAGGCACTATACTCTGCGCATGTGCGGTGACCTGCAAATTATCTCTTTTTTTACGCTTTTTTTTACGCTCTTTATCACGCTTCCGGGTTTCATGGGCGGGATTGTCAACTTTTGTGCATGTCCACTTCCGACGGCAGTTCAACAATGGCTGAGACGAATGCTATTTATGTCACTGCTCTGTTCCACTTTGTAAATTTAGCCAACAACGCCAACCCTACTTAAGTTTTTCATGGATTCCCGACTGAATTGAGTATAAGGAAGAAGTGGATTAAAACATTAAGATAAAACAAGCACGTTTGTTTGCAGCCGCACTTTAGTGAATCAGATGAATTTACCAGGGATGCCGTATAAATAAAACTTAGTGTAGTCTGTCATCAGTTCGCCAGCGGATCTGTGATTCAACAGAAGTGCAGTGCACAAAGATCACAGAATCCGGAAGTCTACGTAACAGCGTGATAATCCCCTATCAAAAAAATGTAACTTCAAAACTTTTTGCACTTAATTCAAATAAAAAAACAAAAACAACGAAAAACACATTCTCTTCAATACTTTTTTTATTCACAGGGTTTTTTTTTTTTTTTGCATTTGAACAGTTTTTCTTTGATTGAAAATATATTATATTTTTTTGATTGAAACAACTTTTTTGGAATTGAATGATTAAGACAAATATCCTACCATGTATGGCCCAAACACAAAAAAGATTACTTCAATCAAAGAGAAAATTTCCAATTTTTTTTAAAAAAGTGTTCAAATGCAATTTTTGGACTCTCAAATATTTTATTTGCATTCAAAAACGATTTTGTATTTTTGATGTGTGTTGTTGAAAAATGTTTATCTTTTCATTGAAGTGACTTTTTTATTGATTCTGTTGTTTGTTTGAAGCAACTTCTTTTTTGATTGAATGATAAAGACACAAATGTCCCCATTATATGGTCCAATCAAAAAACAATGTTACTTTAATTAAAAAGGTTGCTTTAAACAAAAAAAACAAAAAAAAAAAAAACGGACTGCTATCCAATAAAACATTTTCAATCAAAGAAAAGCAGTGTTAAAATGTATTTTTTTTAGTCTCAAATATATTTTGAATTCAAACACTTTTTTTCTTTGATTGAAAAGTTTTTTTTCCAGTGAAGTGAAGGTTTTTTTAATTGAAAATAGTTTTTTTGATTGAATAATAAAGAAACAAATATACCTTCATATTATTAGCCCCTCCCCCTGATTCGACGTGGAGCTAAAAGCGGCAGCGGCGTTCGCTGTGACGCTGTCGTCGTGCTCTAACAAACACACACAGCGCGACGAGTGCGGAGGCCCAGAACCTCTGAAGGTGAAGTGAGTTTCTCTAGGTGTTGTTTAAACACGCGTTTAACTTAGTTACGTTTGTAAAGAATGCATTGTATGCTAAAGACGATTCACCATCAGCAAAAACAGCGAGTCTATTACGTTCGGTCAAATTGCTCCCTCGTGAGTTTTAAGAGCACTCTTCCCTTTGATTATCTAATTTAGATTTTAGTAAAGACATGAACAGCTTAATAAAAAATATAAAATATTGTTTGTATCCATAACGTTTACTGATGGTCGCCGTGACGCCGCCAACAAACAGTGCAAGTTAGGAGATCGATCATTTGATTAGCTTTTTGGTTGCGCACCTAAATGGCCAAATGAATACAGAAATATCAAAATGCCAAGTCGGTACGTGTACGTTTTGATAGTTTGTTTTTTCGTTTGAAACAAAAGAGACAAAATAACGAGAAACCACCCTTTTTTCGTTTGTCGTTTCAAACCAAAAACAAAGAAACCGTAAAAAAGAGCCGTTTTCCCGTTTTTGGTTCTGAATCCGAAAACTAAAAAAACAAAATCAAATAACGGTCCGATTTTGTTTTGTTTTTTTAATTCCTTTACCATTTTTCCGTTTGAAGATCTACAGGTTGGCCACGTGACCCGGAAGTAATAGTAAATATGGCCTATCAAAATAAAAGCCAAGCTTTTAGAACGGTCATAATACGCAGCACTAACGTTATACCAGAGTCACGTTAGAAGAAGAAAAATCAATGAATAAATAGAATCCTGGGCCGGAATAAATATGTTAGCAACAGTAGTTTATTACAACTATTTAATATCATGCCGATCCAGACCAAGCGGCAACCTCCCCGTCTCTCTCTTGAAGCCAACACGGAAGTGAATTAAACTGCAATTTATCGAGTGGCCGCTCAAATCTGTATCTCCCCCATGTTAAAATGCCCAACTTTACAGCAGAAAAAAAAAAACATGTTTACAGCCTGGAGCAAAAAGTGGCTTTGGTCTATAGAGCTCATTTTTCCCTTCATGACAACTGTGAGGGGGGTAAAATTTTTTACAACTCATCTGTTTATATTATTTTTAAAGGGGAACTTGGTAACTTATTTAACATAATAAAGCCGTCTAGAAATCATTTGGATGGTTAAACAACCTGTTCTGGTGATATTGGTGACTTTACCAGCTCCCCCCAGCGTTCCCAGGCGAAAAAACAACCTTGCAACATGAGGACTACCGTCCCGGCAAAATACGAGAACGAGAACGAGCGCGAAACACGAGCAGCTTTACGGCAATTCAACACACACACGCCCACCTCAATACTAGCTAGAAGTAACCTGAGTACAAGCGACGATGGATAATGTTCCAGCGAAAAGACTGAAGAGACGGTTATCGGCGGAGGAGGTGAAAGAGAGGAAAAAACTTTTTGACCGTGCTAGGGACCGTACAAGAGTCAACATTGGTCGTGCATTCACCGAGTGGCGAGAGCTAAAAGAAAATGAAGAATGCAGAACAGATGCGGACCTTGCGTTTCTGCTAATGCAATTGTAAGTAAGTGTTTGTTTTATTTATTACTTATTCTTGTTTGTGTTTATAAATGTGTTCAAACCATGACTGTCTGTGTAAGCTGATTGCCTTACGTTAGCGAGACAACGTGTTTGTTTTGAGCACGGTACATTGCTATCTTTTGTATTGGGTTGCTCATATCTATGTGGCAAACTTGACAAACAACTATTGTCATATATGATTTATCCGTCGGGCCATGTAGTGGTACATAATAACCAAGGCTAATAACACTGATCACATTTGTGTCTCTGCATTCGTGTTTTAGCATCGGTCAAAAATATGCGTTTACTATATCTAGACTGTTTGATTTCGTAATGGATTAGCAATAGTCATAAATGTTCTTTTAGTTTTATATTGTTTAGAAAATTTATACAATGTGTAAAGGTGACACCTGTCCTCTTGATTTTGTTGTAGCTACAAGCGCTGGCAAGCGACAACGTCCACGCCACGCAAGGGCCAGTGCAGACCACCACAACCAGTGGTGTCGAGTATCGGCACGGAGTCGGATCATGACCTGTAATTTTTTTTTCTCCCAAAAGCAGTAATATTTCAGACAGTGTTGGTTGGTATTGCAGAAAGTGATTGATTGTTTTGTTCGTTTTTTTCAATCAGAGAAATGAATCCCAATGCAATTGGTGTTGAAACGTTGGTTAGAGAGGGAGAAATTGAGGTTTTAGAATCCAGGTGAGTTTGCCTTGCAACACATATTGTGATATTACACAAATATGACAACTCATATTTGATTTGGGTTAATGTGTTTCTTTTCTGTTTACTGTTTATTTATTTGTTCATTTGTTTATTGTTACGCTTGCAGCATGCATTCCCTGGATATTAGCAAACAGGATAACCAAGATTCACCAGATGAAGAGGAGGAGAATGATTTCAGGAATACCTAGTAAGTAATGGATATTATGTGTATCATTTAGATTAATAAATGTATACATCATTAATAAGGTCAATATACATGTCTAATTCTTAGTATTGTCATGGATCCTTTTTGGGATAACCCAAAAAATGTGTGCTTTGAAGATGGGTACAGCTCCGATGAGGATTTTGTCCCATCTCTTCATTTGCGGTAAAATAATTTGTTTATTTGTTTGAAGTAGGTGGTGGGCTGTTCATACCACTGATTAATTGATTATGTAATGGTCATTAATAATTTGATGTGGTGATCAATGCATACATATTTTGACTCTTTACACAGCACTATTGGTGCCAAAACAGACAAGCTTCCGGAAATCAGTGTGGACGAAGCTGTGTTAGATTTTTTTGTATCTGATTGTCCAGTTGATGAATCGGAATCAGATTCTGTTCCAGAACAACATAGAATAACTACAGAGGAAGACCTAGTTGGTAAATGTGCAAACATTACATACAACGATAATCTCCTTCAACTCGCTCGGCACCTGAAACTACCAATCAAGAACTGCAAACACATGGACAGACTGTCTGGTTGTCCATGTCCTGGTGTTCCACCGTTTCAGGTCACCCTGAAACCTCGTGGGACTGGAGCAGTTTTGGAATGGGTAAGTTGGTTCTGGCGAATGAGATGTGACTGTAATTCAGATCCCGTTATTCACATTTTATTCAGACCCATAGAAACAACGGTCTCTTGTTGATGTATTTTTTTCACATGTACATTAGTTCTGCCCCTTCGGACACAGCCAGTGGAAGTGGAACTCGCAGCCAACTTTAAAGTTTGGCATGCAGGGTGGGGACTTCATGCTCTCTGCAAATATACTACTGTCTGGCAACAACTACAGAAAAGTAGCTCTTCTTTTCAAATTCATGGCCATGGGGATGGTTACAGAATCGACATACTACCGTATCCAAGATGCATACTGCATAGAGCCTGTCCAAGACTTCTGGGACAACATCAATGCCAAAGTCATGGAGCGTATGCGTCAAAAGGACCATATTGTTGTTCTAGGTGAGGGATACTTTTGTTTCTTTGCCGACATCAATTACGTAGAAATCAATGTTTATCAAAGACGTAGTCAATGTGAGACTTGTGATTCTAATGCCTTTTAATCAATTGTCTGTTGGATGTAGGAGACGGCCGAATGGACTCTCCTGGTAAGTTATGAGTACATACATTTATTTTGTGTGATTAATGTTCATTTACTGACAGGTGTGTTATGCTTCAGGACACTGTGCTCAGTATTGCACATATACAACAATAGAGCAGGAGTCTAGAGATATCATCCACATCGTTTCTGTTGACAAAAGGGAGACCAGCCGCAACTCCGTGATCATGGAGAAGGAGTGTTTCGTTCGCACCATGGATGCTCTGCTCCCAAATGTCAAAATAAAAGAAGTGGTTACTGATGCCCACCCTCAGATCATGGCATTACTGAGTAAGCAGAACTTTTGTACTGTATTATAAGTCTTTACTTTCATATTGGATTTTTGACAAATTTTTTTTTTTTTTGCAGATCCTGAACGTGGACGATACAAGGAATGGGGATTACAGCATTCACTTGACATTTGGCATGCTGCTAAAAGTCTTAGCAAAAGGCTTCGAAAGGTATGTTTCCATCCACACTATCATACTTCAAAGGGTACTCAACAATGGCATATGATACAACTTTTTACCCATAACATAGTGGCTATAGAAGAGTTAGTTTATAGCTGTATACTGACACTGCTATTGATGTGCATGGATGTTCAGGCTGGAGCAGTGAAAGGGCAAAATCATATTCACATCTGGACACGGGACATTGTCAACCATTTTTGGTACTGCAGCAAACAGGCCTCCACAGAGGAGGAATTTAAGGTATGTTTAAAAGTAAAGTGTTTTATTTGTTTAAAAAATAAAATGTGGCAGATTGGTTTTTATATAGATTAATTCTTCTTGCAGTTGATGTGGGTTGGTGTAATGCATCATGTGTGCAATGAACATTTATGGGCAACCGGTTGCTGTCAACATGAGCCGCTGGAGGAAGGCAGCCAAGACAAGCCTTGGATGGAGCAAGGTGACCAAATAAGAAAAAGAACTGAAAAAATAAAAATCCTACATGACTGCACTCAGTTTACTCATATGATGCGTTTACAGGTTCAGCAGCTCACTGGGCCCTGGCTGCAATTGTGTTCGATAAGAGATGGCTTAACCAGGCGAAGAAGTTCATAAACTTCAGGTAATCATCTGCTCTCACCTTATCACTTAGAATATTTTTAATTTTGCACTCAATCAATAGTGATTTGTTTACTTATCAGATTTGATATTTGCCATACTGGGATGAGGTCCTTATTTCTGTTTTGACGTAAGAAAGGGGTTGCATTAGATAGACACGTGGTGAGAGCTGAGATAATCTAAATTCAATTATTCTTCCCCCAACACACTTTTCAGGACGACGTCGGATTTGGAGAGTTTTCAAAATCACATTCTGCTCTACGCATCTAAACGCATGTCATACACCCCATTCATCTACAAGACCCGGACACTGCTGGCTGCAATAGATTATAATCTGCACAATCAACGCATGCCAGCACGTAACAAGGATGGACACAAAATGCAAGTATTTGCATTTTGAATAAAGTTTTTTTTTTTTTTTTTTTAAGTTAAATTTTTTCACCTTTCTATGTTACATAACTTTTGTGACTGATCAAATTACACACTGCCCTTGCTCTCCAGGTACAAAAGAGCGTACAATAAAAAATCAAAAAACTGGTCTGTGTATACAGTCAAGGAGAAAAAGGATTACAAGTACATCCCTGACCTCCAGAAGGCCATTCTTGGTAGGAGGCTAAAGAGTAGGACCGGCCTTCCACGCAAAACCACCATAAGGGCAGATGATCCCAGGAGACTTGGTTTGCTTTCTTCTGCAGAGCCACCACCACCCACGTCAGAGCTTGTTCAAAAACATGTGTCACGAGGGGACACTGCGCCCACAAAACCACAGGAGGATTGACACTATTCCCTCTTAGAAACTGTAAATTGTTGTTTCCTACAAATTGTAAAAAAAATGATGGATACTTGTTTAAATAATATATATTTTATTTCAAATAAATACATTCAATGAAAAAACTGTCTCTATTCAAATGTCCAAATATTATTATAAGTTTTAAATAAGTATTTGTAATAAATAAGGAAAAATTATGAAACATTCAGACATGACGTGTCACCCTAAATCCCGTGTACTGACCCCTTGGGTCAGGAAAGCAGTCTCTAATTTTCCACACGCAACAGCTTGGGATGACCACCCTGTTCCCTATTCCAAGGCGGCCATGCTGCCACAGCACAAACTGGCGGTAGGCTGAATGTCGATACTGTCGCTGCTCCTCCCCTGGCTCCTGGTGATCATTTATTGCAAAAATGTCATTCCAAGCTCCACGGGCCAGTCGCAACACCCCCTCGTCTAATACATAGTAAGCCATGTATGCCATGTTACTGATGCAATGTTCGTGGGTTTGGCGACAGCAGACCTTCTCAATGTCTGTTGTCATATCACGACAATGGCCACACACGCACCAGTGAAGTCCTTCTGGGTCAGCGTACGGTGGTTGTGGTACCTCCATTAGAGATAAGATGTCAAACATCAACCCAGGTAGTCTTGTGAGTACTTTCTCTAGGAGAGCATGCTTCTGGCCAGGGTTCAGCAAATTAATTTTCTCCTACAACACATTATTATTATTAGTTAGATGCATATATTTTCTTCAAAAAATTAACACTAAGATTAATGTTGCCTGATCACAAACAAACCTTGGACTCATGTGTACGTTTCTCTTGCAGTTCCCTCAGCCTCCTCTGGACATCAGGTTCTAGGTCCTTGGGTCTTGTGCCCCCCCTCCTCGGTGCCCTTTGCCTTGGAGTTTTAGCTTTAGCACTTCTGGTTCCTATAGCCTGAGGGGTGAATTCGGACGAGGCCGAGTTCGAAGTTGACTCCTGTAATATTATCATAAACGGAAAAATAGTGTAGTCAACCGTAAAACTCAAAATTATTAAGCTAACATCTGATGTTGTAGTCAAGGAAAATTGTGCGTAAATTATTTATACTTAGGTCGATTAAATCCTTTATGATAGGCCTACAATTGTTCAATAATAACTGGTAAAACACAGTTATTGTAAACTATAAATTATGTATTGTACTTTTACAAAAGAATGCAACTTGAGGATTCTCTGCACGATTAACGTTATAAACTAAAATTTGAAATCTCAGTTCCAATGAAGGTAAATCAGGCTATAGTTATGATAATAATAAGCTTTGACGTTCGCTAGCTTTATCCACACAAACCGTGTTACGTTTTATAGTTGATAACAGAAAAAAAAATGTACATGTCAATGTTCTATGATAATGTGTTTGATGTATTACCCACCTCGGTAGACATACTGTAGCTCCACAACGCTCCGCAGTTGGCCGGCTCCGTTTATAACAAATGCACGTGAGGTAGAACGGGGGAGAAGGGTGCCGCTAGTGAACTTTTTACGACAGTGTTGGGAAATATAGGGACCACAGCTGTAGGGGGAGCTCGCGGGTAAAAGATGCGACAAAAAAAGTCAAAATCAGCAAAGAAGTCTTTCAGTTGCCGAGTTCTGCTTTAAGCCTTAAAGTTCTGCATAATTAAGGGCGTGGCCACTTGAGTGACAGGTGGATTCTTGCGGCCGCTTTCACTGCTAGTCGTTTGTCTGCTGTCTGTTAGCGTCACCCTCAGCTGTGTTTGTGCTTTTTCGGGATTATTTCATTCAATTTAATACATGTATTATACCTTCGCCCGTGCACGCCGTTGGATTCCGTCGTGTCGAGTATGGAGAGAACAACCAGCGCCGTGTTTCCAGCTGTTTCCCTCACATGCACTAATGGATGTCTGACGATTTCAGCGCTTTGAATGAGCGCGAGTTTCTAGTTCATGTACTTGAAGTTCTGAGGTAATATCTTTGGTTTGACCATCTGAGAAACTGAGAGGCGGCCAAAATCGGATTGTAAAATGGACTGAATTAAAGCTCCTTACGAACTTGACGTGAGATGCCGACTGACATGTGTGCTTGCCTTGAATCACTGTCGCATGCACAAGCTTCGAGCAATATTGTAAGTAATTAATACATTTTTAACTAGCAGAATAATAATGCATCACGAACGATGCACATAGTTGACTGCTTGTATGTTGTGAGAAATGTGTGTGATCTGTGTTAATGTATTTGTATACATGCAACTAATTGCCCCTTGTGTGAGATTAATAAAGTTGATAAAGTAAAGTAAATAGTCTCACTTTTAGTTGCGTCTTAACTATTATAATATTTCGAAGGGCAAAACATGAACTTTAACCATTGGCTTTACTTTTTCAATCAGCTGTCAATTCAGCGGCAGTAGCATCCCAGATAGCAAACTGACATTGAATCAACGTGGAAATATGACATTGAAACAACGTTGATCTGACATTGTTTTGCTCATCGAATTAACGTTGAACCAACGTCAGACGCGTCATTCTTTCAAAACTAACGCAAAATCAACTTGAAATCAACGCGTTGTTTCAACGTTATGAAAGCAAACCAATTTTCGATTTCATTTAGCTTTGAAGAATGCCGCGTCTGACGTTGGTTCAACGTTAATTCGATGAGCAAATCAACGTTGTTTCAATGTCATGAGAGACGTCGTTTCCACGTTGATTCAATGTCAGTTTGCTATCTGGGATAGCATTAGCACCTCAGCTCCACCCGCGTCCCGCCTCTTTGCCCATTTTAATTTATCCGGTAGTGACGAGAGGTGACGACGAGATGGCGACGGCCGGCCCCGCCCACTTTAGTCTTCAAAAACGCTCTTCAGAAAGGGTGACGTCACGGACACTACGTCCATATTTTTTTAGTCTATGATCCAGACATCACCAGTCACGTTTAATGAGCGCATTGTTTGGCTCAATACAGTTGGTATTAAGAACTTATTGTGTGTGCAGAGTTATTATTGTTAGCGCTATATTATATAATTATTATATTATATAATTATATTGAATGTGGTTTCCCACTGTAATGGACCACTGTTTCCCCTTTCTACCAGCAGGTGGCAGTATTTAAATGACTGACTGTATGGTGTCTTTGGTAACTTTTTTTAAATCAAGATTACTGATACAGATATATTTATTGTTGTTCATTTTATTTGGTTTTTGATTTTATTTGCCTAGTTATCATCATCTTTCATCCAGCCCAGAGTTAAACCTGCTTCTGTTTTAACCTGATTCTAACTCTGATTCTAACACTGCTATCAGCTTCTTAGCAGTTCAGAAAACAAACTCACATCAGAAATGTCCTAATGTAGGCCATCTGGACAAAAGGATGATTTACCAGTGTGCTGTGTGAGTCTTTCTTCTCTATACATATTCCAGTGTGTATAATATACAAAACTCTGATTGTCATGCAAGTGAAGAGAATCCATACAAGTCTTAAAACTTTATATAGCACATTCATGCTTTCAAAGGCATTGGATGTACAATCAATGGCTGCAGAATATTTGTTAAGCCCTAAGGTAAGAAGATTTTACAAGGTCCTCAAAAGAAATGACAAAACATAATTACATTACAAAAAACAAGCCGTCAACGCTGATTACATCAGCAATAACTGCAACAAAATGTTTCCAGTAACTTTTGAACAGTCATGTCCATGTCCAACCCTACAGTTGAGTGAGGCATGCGTTAATGATTGTGGTATCCTTACAGGAGTGTTAACCTTCTCTCTGTCTCTGTAGCGGCCATGAACTTCTCCACCTCCAACAGTGAGGGCAGCTGCGGTCCGCCTTCATACACCGATGACGAGTCTCCGTTCATCAGCCACTTCCACAAACCCAGAGTTCAGTTTCTAGAGATGGACACGGAGGCCAGCAGCTCGGACAGGTACAGGAGGTGTCCTTCCTGCTTCATTGCATCATGTTTGGCGATTTGTTTAGGTTTATATCACGTCATGCTCCTTCTCAAAGGGACTTAACTGGCATTCTTGATCTCCAGCTCTCTGGTACTAGATAAAGTGAAGACGCCACAATTCTTTAAGAGATTCCGGAAAGAATTTGCACATTGGACGGATGTAAACGACAAGCTGGAGAAAGAACTGTCTGACCAGATCAAGATCAACTCAGAAAAAGGTTTAATTTGTGCTACCTCGAGAGAATGAACTCTGGTGTGAATTTGTCTGAGTTTCTCTCTCTTTTGCACACAGAGGGTTTGATGGTCCAGCCGTCAGAGGAAAAGACCATGTTCCGCTACTATTGCGAAGCAATCCTGATCCTCGGTCACTTCCAGAGACCAGGAGCGGTGGAGGGAGTAACAGTAAGTGTTAAGACCCCAACATCACGAGCCAGCAGATACGTCGGACCGTGCAGACAGATGTGGCTGCCAACTTTACAGAGGAGCAGAAGGCGTCTGTGGCCCACTACATGGCCAATTCCAATGCAGTGGCAAACCAGCACTATAGGATGAAGACCCTAGATGCTATCGTGGCCACTTCAAACCTGCTCAGCTCCCTGACACGGTATGTAATTATCTGTACTATAATTATGTTATAAATCTGTTATAATTATAATGTCTCTCAACGCTCATCCATCAGTTCGTTAGTGTGTAACCTCCAGACCTTTTCAATATTGCAGCTCCTCTTCTGACGACTCTGGTGAAGAGGGCACCCAGGCAGTGAAGAGAAGGCGGGTGGAAGAAGAGGTCCCAGCCCCGGACTTAAATGCTTTCCTGCAGGCCTTCCCTGTGGGAATCACTGGCCAACCACCCAACAAGACCCAGAGAGAAAAAGCTGGGTTCCCCGCCGACAGAGTCTTTTATGATAAGTGGAGGGCTCTGCAGTACAGCCTTCGGGAGCAACATCTTTTGGGTACGTGTATATACTTCCTTATGATCCAATGATTAGATTTGCTCCAACAGAAACATTTTGAACTAGTGTGTGAACCTGAATTTTAATTCAAATGTGCTCTCTTTGACAGCAAAATTCTCAAGACGTAGCCCAACTGCAGCGATGGTGGCCAAAGTCATAGATGCAGAGGGCTGGACGGCCAATCATCCTCGTCCAGAGGACATCATGGCGAAGTGGAGGCCGCTCAGCAGAGCACAGGCGGAGAGTGACCCGTGCATCATCAAGGGGGTGACCAGGCAGAAATGGTCGGGTCTGGCTGTGAAGGACTTTGGGGAGCAGAAAGGTATGTACAACTGTCTTATGAGCACAGTAAAATCCATAAATAAAATGAATATAATAACATCATGAACAGCACATTAATGACTCCCTCTTTTTGACCACAGGCGTTGTTGCAACCAAGGCCTTCGGGAAGGGCTCCATCCTGTGTGATTTCCACGGAAAGGTGATCACAGGTGCTGAGGGCAGGGAGATGGCAGAGACGCAGGACCAGCTGGGAAACCTGTTTTTCTTCAAACATGGCCCTGACGAAATCTGCATCGATGCGGAGACTTTCCCCTGTGAGTGCCACCCGTCTCTGGAAACCATCGGGAGATGGATTACACACTCAAAGAAGAAGTGCAACATGCAGCCATGCCACTGCATAGTGAAGCTTCAGGGGGGAGACAGGCACGTCCTGCTCTTTCAGGCCACCACGGACATTAAGAAAGATGATAAGATCTGCTTCGACCACGGCATCAAGAAGAGGACTTTTCGTGGGGAGATAGAGGAGCTGGAGTGGCTGAACATTTGATTCTTTACAATTTGTGTCACATTTTATGACACAAGACTATGAACTATCAATGATTTGTTTGTCAACTGTGAGCTCGCGAATGAACTATAGATGTTTGGACAAAATTGGGAGCTTGCGTATGGACTTGATGTTCATGTAAAAGGAGCCTCAATAGCGTCTAAACATTGTAGTTTCATGTAAATGGAGCCTCAGTGTGACCAATGAAATAATTGACCTTGATCTACGTCCTGGAGCTGGAGTGGTTGGATCTCTGACTCTATTTTTTCAGACTGTGATTTTGCCGGACGTCTGCTTGCCTCTCACAGACCATGTGTGACAAATTTAAATGGAGCCTCGTTGTGAACTGACAACCCAGACAGACTGTATTGTAAGTAGAGTAAAGTACTTATTGTAAGTGTATTGTAAATACTTTGTATTGTACATGAATTTATGCTCACTAAAGTTATAAATCAGTCTATAAATGAAAGTACTTTCCTTACAGCTCTGAAAACAGCCATAGTAAAGCCTATACACAAGTCAGGAGATAAGCTCCAGGGGCCTCGTTTATAAACGTTGCGTACACACAAAAGAAGGCGTACGCCGCTCTTTACGCAATAGTTGGTGTTTATACAAAGCAAACTTGACGGTAAAATGTGCGGTCCTTCACGCCAGCTCTGACCCAGGCGTACGCACAAAAACGGGTGAAATGAGAAATGGTGACACCGTCGGCAGATGGAAAAACACGTGAAAGTGTGTGAAACTGTAGACGGTTGTGTAAAATAAATTGCAATACTGCCTCTCATAAATAACACGAAGACTTCACAAAGCAAGTCTTACAATTAACAGCCTACACGAACACCCGTTTGATCGATCTGCAACAGAAATGCAAATTAACACATATTTCCAAAAAAGAAAGAAACATGTTCTTCAATAATATTGGCTTATACAATTCATTCTCATAAGATGGTAAACAGAACGAAATAATGTACAAAACTGATATTCTCGCCATTACTAATGCCAAAAAAGGCACTTGAGTGGCAAAAGGTAACAGACGCCGTAAATGCTGTAGCCTCACAACCTCGGACTGTGGCCGAAATAAAAAAGAAATGGTCGGATTTCAAAGTCGAGGCAAAAAAGCGTCTAGTCATTAATTCAATTAGAGAGGTGGCCAAGGAGTTGGGCGAAATCAAGACTCAAAACTGAAATAAACTGCACAATGAGGGAATTCTTCAATAAATAATATATTTTTCCACAGCTTTTGTTGTGAAGATGATGCTTTGAATCCTTCCATTTAATCGCCACATCTTCTAAGAGCGCAAGATCAGCCATTGTGCTTCATTATACGCATTGTAATGGGGCATTTTATTTACATCCATTTAATTCTGCATCTGACAAGCTACGGATGTCGCTTATAATCTAAATGGGAAATAGTTCAGCGCAAATGTAATTTCTTGCAGCTTTCTGAATGGTTGAGACACGTCATACGTTATTTTATCAAAAATAAAACAAACTAAAGGCATATGCATGAATGCCATGATTCCGGAGCTGATGAAGACATTTTTACAATGAAAACAACTTTCCCCAGTGGACAAATAATACACCTATTTATCGATCTATCTAGGCTATATATCTCTCTAATTATCTATCTATCTGACTGACGATCTAATTGCTATATCTGCTCCATTAGACGGACATATTGGTTGTCCACACTGTGCCCTCCAAACAACATTTCTCTCCTCTTTTCCACCTCGCCAACGATAACTTCTACTTCACATTGAGTGAAGTTATATTTTTATTATTTCCTCTCTGTGTTTAACATGATTTTGCAATTGATGAATATTAAAGGGGGGTTGACTGCGATTTCACTTTTTTCATGTTAAATAGTGTGTAATGTTGCTGTTGGTGCATGAACAGTATCTGCAAAGTTGCAGCGCTGAAAGTTCAGCGTAAGCAGAGATATCGTCCTTTAAAAATCAGGAAGTTTAATTGCCTACAAAAACGACTGGATTGGGACTACAGCTGGGTTATGGTACGTCACTAACCCACACATTTGCATCAACCCTCCCTCCAGAATAAGCAGAAAAGAGCATGACCATATTTCAGCAGCTCCAGCTCGTCGAGGGTGTTGTTCACGCAGCTGTCAGGTCTTCTGTGTTCAGGCTTCCCACAGACGCTGTACTTCAACAATGGATACAATTTATGTTTGATTATGTTCCTGAAAATGATGATGGTAATCTAGCTCTCTGTGCTGCGCATTTACGGAAGACAGCTTCCAGAATCTCCACGAGTTCAACACCGGATTCAATAAGAAACTGTTACTAAAACATGAAGCAGTTTCAACTTTAAAACCAGAGGCAGCAGTTGTTGGGCCACAACCTGTAAGTAGGCTAAGACTTCATCATTTTAAATGTATTTGCATGTATAATTCCAGATGTGATGTTTTAGTTTTGTCAAATGCCAGCGCTGGCTTTATATCCACTTAGTTATGCTATTTTGCGTCTACGACAAACGCGTACAAACATTTTGGACCTGAATTTGTATATGTACTCATTTTATAAATGTATTTATCATGTATATTAATTTAATCATCACTTTGTGATGTAAGAACAGGTTTGTTATGTGTGGGTGATGAAAGGAGACACAGGGTCGGCGAATGCTGGGACTCGTGCACTTTTATTTACACAACTCTTCACAGCGCGAGGTCGCGCTCAAATAAAGTTAACTCAGAATGTCAAAGGCAAAAATAAATAATAGGTGATAATACTCTTCCCACTGAACACAGCTTTGCCGAACACGGTTGCAGTGAAAACTCTTCCCGCTGAATACAGCTTTCAATTGTCCCGCGTTCGGTAACAGGACTCCATAGGATACGTGCACGAGCGGCCAGTCTCTCTCTCAAACTGTTGTCCGCACGGCCCGCTTATATGCGCTCTCCTCACGCCAATCACTGAAACCACAGACAGGTGTTTGTCATTTGAACTTGACCCACTTATTCACCGCTCGGCTCCGTCCGTCCCAGCTCTCTCACAGTCAGAGCCGGCCCGAGCCTTTTGGGGGCCCTAAGCAGAATTTGATTTGGGGGCACCTCCCACGACGCGGAGTCACCTGTGTTTGACGATTATTGACACAAATGTCACGCAATAATGATACATTATAAATGAACACACTTCGGTTATGTATTAGGCTACAACAAAATTAATACTTAATAAAAAGAAATAGATGCATACTTAAATAAAAAAAGTTTAACAGTCTTAAAAACTGTCTCAAAACATAAAATAAATTATTTGCTAAAATTATAACAAAACTGAGAAACATAAGAGCAAGGCTTCAACAAGCCTATTGTTGAAAACTAAAAATATTTGGCCTACTATTTCTCCACTGTCTCAATACATTGTAACTGTCCTCAAAAGCTTTATTATTATCGTAAGAGACTTTGTTAGATATTACATGACATAATCCAACAAAGTCTGTTCCTATAATACCGGTAATAATGTTCTGGCGCTCGTTGTATGTGTGTATGCAAGACACAGCAGCAGTTGTAACTTGTAGGCAGGTATATTGATCATTAAATCAGAGTTTTGTTGTCTTGAATGATTCATTTAGTCATATTCATTGATTTATGTCACTTGTTTAAGTAATCTAAAAATAAAAATAAAAAATAACCCCGAGCGGCCACTTAGTTCGCTTATGCCTCGGGCCGGCTCTGCTCACAGTCCCACTACAGGACCAGCTGCATCTGGACCGGAGCGCAGGCACATTTCGCCTGTAAAGGTAATGGGCGTTAACCTTACGGACAATGTGAGCGACAGTTTAGCCAATCACAACACACCGGCCCAAACTAACCAATCAGAGCCCACTGCCTGTTTCTGGGGGAGTGGTTTCATAGACTCAGGAAGTCAACCGCTCGTTCAGGGGACAGAGGAGCGCGCGGCTGACAATAAAGGTGAAGTTTATGAAAAATAAGACTTTTAAAAAAAGAAAAACCACGAATACATGTTATATTGCACCCCATAAACACAATCATGCAAAGAATGATTTAACTTGTGGGCGTTTCATGGACTATTTATGGGCAACTATGGGCGTGACATGAAGCCACAAAAGCTGCACTACATTTAGAATTGATTGTGATTTATTAAGGGAAAAATGCATAGGATTTGCGTGCGCACGGTTTTATAAATCCGAATATTTCTGTGCGTACGCACGCCCTATGTTTCATCCGTATGCCACTTCTGACACAAATCCTACACAAAGTTTTATAAATGAGGCCCCAGGTCTCTAACTATCGACCTATAAGCATCGTTCCCACAATCTCCAAAGTCTTTGAAAAAGTAGTTGAAGCACAGCTTGTGAAACATCTTGATTACAATGCTGCATCCTCTCCAGTTTGGTTTCAGAAAACGATACTCAACGGATACAGCATGTTGCTACTTAAAAAAGGAAATAAAATCTGGATAGCGGAGGAGTTGTAGGGGCGAAAGACTTCTTGACTTGCGTAAGGCCTTCGACACAGTAATCCATGAACTACTGATAGATAAATTAACACATTTCTCTATTAGTATAAGTACAATTAATTGGATTAAATCTTCTCTCAGTGCAAGGCAGCAGAGTGTATCTATAAATAATGTAACATCTCTCTTACGAGCATGCACTATGGGTGTGCCGCAGGGCTCTATATTAGGGCCCTTGTTGTCTTCACTTTATATTTATGATTTTCCGTGTGCGTGTATTAATGCTAAAATGATAATGCTGATGACAAAATGGTGTATATTCATGGTAACACTGTTAAGGATGTTGCTCAAAAGTTAACTGAGGAAATGGAAAAGATTTCTATTTGGCTAAAAAAAAAAAAAAAAAAATTCATTTAACAAAATCAGTTGAGGGTCAGGAAATTAAAAAGGTAGACCAAATTAAATGTTTAGGAGTCATTCTAGACCCAAATCTAAATTTCAAAAAACATATTAAAAAGATTACCAACACGTTAAATTCATATAGCACATTTTAGATATATTAGGAACTCTTTGACCATAGGTGCATCTAATTTACATCTAAATGTGATGATATTTCCACACTTTCGATTCTGCATGACGAGTTTTTCACAAGCAAGTAAAACAGCATTAAGGCCCCTGGAATCTTTGTAGAAAACTTCTCTAACGTTTATGACAAGAAATCTCGGTTATTTAATTATTATCATATTCTTAAAAAAAACATAGGATATTAGGTTTGAAAACAATCATACATTCAAATATCTGTCTCTTGTTTAAGATCATAAATAGTACTGCAACCCCTCTGTTAAAAAAAGTTGATCTCACTGAGCTCAGAAATGACATCTCGAGCCACTAGGTCGACTGTTCGGGGCGAGTGCACGATTTCTCGGTGTAAAACAGTTTTCGGCAGCTTAGCTTTCTCATGTGTGGCCATCAAACAGTGGAACAAGTTGCCAACAGAACTGACCACATGTGTAAATCAACACTT